ATTTTATTTACCTGCTGGTCTAGCAAATCCCCCCATCACTGCGTCTAGCATTTTCCACCATCACTGCTGTCTAGCACATCCCACCCATCACTGTGTCAGCAATCCCACCCATCACTGCAAGTCTAGCATATCCCCACCCATCACTGCTGGTCTACCCAAACCCAAACATCATGGCTAGATCTCCCACCCATTCATGCTGGTCTAGACATCCCACCCATCACTGTGGTCTAGAAACATCCCACCCATCACTGCTGGTCTAGCAATCCCACCCATAAATGCTAGTCTAGCACACCCCCACCCATCACTGCTGGTCTAGCATATCCCACCCATCACTGCTGGTCTAGCACATCCCACCCATCACTGCTGGTCTAGCACATCCCACCCATCACTGCTAGTCTAGCATATCCCACCCATCACTGCTGGTCTAGCACAACCCACCATCACTGTGGTCTAGCACATCCCACCCATCACTGTGGTCTAGCAAATCCCCCTTTTCACTGCTGGTCTAGCACATCCCACCCTTTCACTGCTGGTCTAGCACATCCCACCCATCACTGCTAGTCTAGCACATCCCACCCATCACTGCTGGTCTAGCATATCCCACCCATCACTGCTGGTCTAGCACATCCCACCCATCACTGTTGGTCTAGCACATCCCACCCATCACTGCTAGTCTAGCATATCCCACCCATCACTGCTGGTCTAGCACAACCCACCCATCACTGCTGGTCTAGCACATCCCACCCTTTCATTTGCTGGTCTAGCACATCCCACCCATCACTGCTGGTCTAGCACATCCCACCCATCACTGCTGGTCTAGCACATCCCACCCATCACTGCTGGTCTAGCATATCCTGCCCATCACTGCTAGTCTAGCACATCCCACCCATCACTGCTGGTCTAGCACATCCCACCCATCACTGCTGGTCTAGCACATCCCACCCATCACTGCTGGTCTAGCACATCCCACCCATCACTGCTGGATAACCAAATCCCCCCATCACTGCTGGTCCTACACATCCCACCATCACTGCTGGACTAACACACCCCACCCATCACTGTGGTTAGCACATCCCACCCATCATGCTGGTCTGCACATCCCCCCCAAATCACTGCTGGTCTACAATCCCACCCATCCTGCTGGTCTAGCACATCCCACCCATCACTGCTGGTCAAAGCACATCCCACCATCACTGCTGTCAAACAAAATCCCCCCCATCACTGCTGGTCTAGCACATCCCACCCATCACTGCTAGTCTAGCATATCCCACCCATCACTGCTGGTCTAGCACATCCCACCCATCACTGCTGGTCTAGCACATCCCACCCATCACTGCTGGTCCAGCATATCTCACCCATCACTGCTGGTCTAGCACATCCCACCCATCACTGCTGGACTAACACATCCCACCCATCACTGCTGATCTAACACATCCCACCCATCACTGCTGGACTAACACATCCCACCCATCACTGCTGGACTAACACATCCCACACATCACTGCTGGACTAACACATCCCACACATCACTGTGACTAAACATCCCCACCCATCACTGCTGGACAAAACACACCCACCCATCACTGCTGGACTAACACATCCCACCCATCACTGCTGGACTAACACATCCCACCCATCACTGCTGGACTAACACATCCCACCCATCACTTGCTGGGACAAACACATCCCGCATCACTGCTGGACTAACACATCCCACCCATCACTGTGGACTAACAATCCCCCAAAATCACTGCTGAACTAACACATCCCACCCATCACTGCGGACTAACACATCCACCCATCACTGCTGGACTAAACACCCCCCAACATCACTGCGGAACTAACACATCCCCCACATCACTGCGAACTAACACATCCCACCCATCATGCTGGGACTAACACATCCCACCCATCATGCTGGCCCTAACACATCCCACATCACTGCTGAACTAACCATCCCCACATCACTGCTGAACTAACACATCCCACCCATCACTGCGGGACTAACACACCCACCATCACGGGCTGGACAACACATCCCCAATTTCACTGCTGAACTAACACATCCCACATCACTGCTGAACTAACACATCCCCCCCATCACTGCTGGACTAACACACCCCACCATCATGCTGGACTAACACATCCCACACATCACTGCTGGGCTAACACATCCCACACATCACTGCTGGACTAACACATCCCACCCATCACTGCTGGATAACACATCCCACACACACTGCTGGACTAACACATCCCACCCTAAATGCGGGACTAACAATCCCACACATCACTGCTGGACTAACACATCCCACACATCCTACTGGACTAACACATCCCACCCATCACTGCTGGACTAACACATCCCACCCATCACTGTTGGTCTAACACATCCCACATATCACTGCTGGACTAACACATCCCACCCATCACTGCTGGACTAACACATCCCACCCATCACTGCTGGACTAACACATCCCACACATCACTGCTGGACTAACACATCCCACACATCACTGCTGGACTAACACATCCCACACATCACTGCTGGCCCAAAACATCCCCAATTCACTGCTGGGACTAACACATCCCCACACATCACTGCTGGACTAACACATCCCACACATCACTGCTGGACTAACACATCCCACACATCACTGCTGGACTAACACATCCCACACATCACTGCTGGACTAACACATCCCACACATCACTGCTGGACTAACACATCCCGCCCATCACTGCTGGACTAACACATCCCACACATCACTGCTGGACTAACACATCCCACACATCACTGCTGGACTAACACATCCCACCCATCACTGCTGGACTAACACATCCCACCATCACTGCTGGGACAACACTTTCCCACACATCATGCTGGACTAACACATCCCACACATCACTGCTGGACCAACACATCCCACACATCACTGCTGGACCAACACATCCCACACATCACTGCTGGACTAACACATCCCACACATCACTGCTGGACTAACACAATCACACACCCATCACTGCTGGTCTAACACTTTCCCACACATCACTGCTGGACTAACACATCCCACACATCACTGTGGACAAAACACATCCCACCATCACTGCTGGGTTAACACATCCCAACATCACTGCTGGACTAACACACCCCACACACCCAACTGTGACTAACACTTTCCACACATCACTGTTTGGGCAAAACACATCCCACACATCACTGCGGGACTAACACATCCCACACATCACTGCTGGACTAACACATCCCACACATCACTGCTGGACTAACACATCCCACACATCACTGCTGGACTAACACATCCCACACATCACTGCTGGACTAACACATCCCACACATCACTGCTGGACTAACACATCCCACACATCACTGCTGGACTAACACATCCCACACATCACTGCTGGACTAACACATCCCACACATCACTGTGGACTAACACATCCCACCCTTTCACTGCTGGACTAACACATCCCACACATCACTGCTGGACTAACACATCCCACACATCACTGCTGGACTAACACATCCCACCCATCACTGCTGGACTAACAACACCCCACCATCACTGCTGGACTAACACATCCCACACTCACTGCTGGACCAACACATCCCACACATCACTGCTGGACTAACACATCCCACACATCACTGCTGGACTAACACATCCCACCCATCACTGCTGGACTAACACATCCCACCCATCACTGCTGGACTAACACATCCCACACATCACTGCTGGACTAACACATCCCACCCATCACTGCTGGACTAACACATCCCACACATCACTGCTGGACTAACACATCCCACACATCACTGCTGGCCAACACTCCCACAACATAAACTGCTGGACCAACACATCCCACACATCACTGCTGGGCTAACACATCCCACACATCACTGCTGGACTAACACATCCCACACATCACTGCTGGACCAACACATCCCACACATCACTGCTGGATGGATTTAGCTCCTAGAATTAATAATAATAATTAATAACTTTACATATTCGTGTACTAGATAACCAGTAAAATTTACATATAACATTGCATTCACCCGCAAGCGCTAAACACGCAGGGGTCACAGCGACTTGGGAAAGAAAGGTAATACTTTATTGGTAATAATAAAACTATAATAATAATAATAAATTTTACTTAATAAAATATTTTTTATTATTAGTTATAAACTTAAGAGAAAATTTAAATATAAATTTTGTGCTTTTAGAATGTATGTAAATATATATTAATTTATATATAAATAATCTGTAATATTTTTAATTATACATATTGTTACATATTAATAAATCACGTGTTGGTATTATTTTTAAAAAGAGAAATGGTTATAAATATGGTGCGGTAAGCCAGTGGAAGGTCTCCGTCAGATGACCAAAAGCTCCGCCGGCGCGTCAGGACACACTTGTACTGTTATCAGACGAACTTTACCTAGCTCAGCCTATTATTTTTAATGGTGACCTTGTGGACACAGAAGCTGGTGGAGAAGTGTTCACAGAAGATACAAACAGAAGAATATTGGTCTCAGACCGGGCCGCGGGGGCGTTGACCCCCGGAACTCTCTCCAGGTAAACTCCAGGTATAGCAGAGAAAAGTCACTTTGACTTTTTTGGGTTATCCCAGGTTCTCTACACATATGCTGCTATGTATGATAATTCTATGTAACTGTATTTGTGTATACCTGAATAAACTTACTAAAAATGTCTATATGAGGTTTTACCAACAGCAGGTGGGTGAAACCTGCAGTGGATGAAACCTGCAGTGGGTGGAACCTGCAGTGGGTGGAACCTGCAGTGGGTGGAATCTGCAGTGGGCAGAACCTGCAGTGGGTGGAATCTGCAGTGGGTGGAACCTGCAGTGGGCGGAACCTGCAGTGGGTTGAACCTGCAGTGGGTTGAACCTGCAGTGGGTGGAATCTGCAGTGGGTGGAACCTGCAGTGGGTGGAACCTGCAGTGGGCACAACCTGCAGTGGGTGGAATCTGCAGTGGGTTGAACCTGCAGTTGGGTGGAATCTGCAGTGGGTGGAAATCCTTAGAAGGAAAGATAATTGTTTGTGTCTTTAAGCTTAATAAACCGTAACTCATTATCACCGATGTAGACCTGTAATTAATGTGTATAAAGCAGCCAGTGAAAACCTGTATGTGAAAAGTAATTTAGAATGAATTTAGCCTCAATTAACATCAGTCAATTAATGTAATCAAACATTAGATCCCGTGACAATGTGTTGAGAAATCTTGGTGAGATACCCATCAAATTCTTCCTTATTGTCAAGTTTTCTGTAACGTCCCGTTTTCTTTGATGTTACTGTTGCAGGGGAAACAAAATGTTTTTGGTAATAGTCGTCATGGAGGGCCATCATTTCCTTCCACATCTGGTGAGGTGTGAGGATGCGATTGCTGGACGTGCTCTCATTCTTGGTCTTCAACAGTTTTAACCTTGTAGATGCTGGGGGGTAAATGTTGGAAGCAATAATAGCAAAGGAGAACTGTAATTAGCAGGAATTATTCATGAACATAATGTGATTCATGTCTTCCTTGGATTTTGGTACGAATGAAATTCTATATATTATGGGTTGACACTAAAACACATAAAGGAGATTGGCTACATGTTTGAACCATTAACTGAGGTCCTCTTCAGAAGATCTTAAAGGTCGAGATAGACATCAGTCGCTTTTTGTTGTCAAAATATGGATTTTTCTCAACATTGACAGGTAACTCATTAAATCTTAAAAAAAAAAATAATGCTTAGCTGCACAAAATATATAAACAGAATTATGGCTTTAACTATTGCTTAATTTTTTGCAAAATACCTAAATATCTGAGTTTCTCAAAAGTGAAACTAAATTAATATGTAAAGTGATTGAGTGTGGACAGAGGTGTACGGGACACTCAAGACAGAGTTGGAAAATGGTGTGAAGGAGGTTTTGAGTGGCAGAGGCTCGAGCATCCAGCATGCATTTACAAGGACGTTAAATCGAAATGCGAGACGAATGCTCTACGAGATTTCTCTATATTCATGGGAAAGCTAAACCCATAGGGGTCATATGGCGCCTGGGGATGGGAGGCATTCAGGAGAATAAAGTCGACCATATAGGATGAAGAACTCCTCACCAGTGTCGATGCACCTCCAGTGGGAGGTCGAGGGTAGAGAGCGTGGGCAGGAATATCTGACTGGATTTGGGAAAAACCTGTTATCAAGACCTGAAGTTTTGAAGATTGGGAAGAACTGTGTTGTGGGAAAGTTTGGGGAAGGGATGAATGTTTTGTGGTGTTGTAGTCAACTTAATTATATAAGGAATTCATTATTATTAATTAACAGTAATAGTAAATTCCTAAATGGAACCTCGGTGTTCGAACGTACCGGATCTCTAACTGGAGTCTGAACAGTTTTGTTCAGAAAAAAAATTGACCTGGTCTTTGAACGTTTCTCTGGAGTGTGAATGCACCGCCTTGTTAACAATTCACTTGTTAAAAAAAGGCTTTACAGGAAAGTCTTGTTTCAAAAATGATTTGAAGTGACCTCTGACCTGACCTTAGTGACCCAACTCTCAGTTCAACCTCCTCCAGTGTGTGTCAGGCTGATTATAGCCTGAGAAATACTATTTCGGGCAACGAACTTTTCACAGTTCCAACACCATCTAGGAAGCAAATAAGTTCAAACACCGAGATTCCACTGTATAAAGATCAACACCTCAATACAAATTTTGACGATAAACCTAACTTAAAATACACACTAACAAAATAACACCAATAAATACATGTTTTAATATCACACTTCATCGTATTTACACACAAATATCTAAAATATTTTAAGAAAATATTCTATACATAAGGAATATTTTATATATACACAGCACAATATATAAATATATATATATATATATAAATATATATATATATATAATATATATATATATATAAATATATATATATATATATATATATATATATATATATATATATATATATATATATATATATAATATATATATATATATATATATATATGCAAAACAACCACTCTGAAAGAATAGAGAAATTCCAAGCGCTTTCGTGACTACTCACATTATCAAGGAACTATGAAAGTAAAGCATCCAAGGAAGCTATATAAGGGGTCTGGCCAGCACCTCACTATCAGATCCCACAACGGTTAAACACGTGACGCGCGCCGACCCAACTGGACAGGTCCTTTGCACAACTCACAAACAAACTATTCTACCCAAGAATATTAATTAAGAAAATTTAAAAATTATTATTTGTCCAGTGTATTATTAAATTCTTCCCAAATTCTATTAATTATAAATGGATCTAATTTATATAAACCAAAGGAAATATTCATATTATTGTCAAAACTGCTTTTTATGAAACAAGATTCAATTATATTCCTGTCGACCATGGACTTGCTTGATACTACTTTCTCAACTTTTTGAAAATCAATTGGATGGTTAAAATCTCTTACATGAATAAATAGAGCATTGGAATCTTGTCCAGTTCTAATGCTATATTTATGTTTTAATCTTAGTTCGAGATTTTTACCAGTTTGACCCTAATAAACTTTATCGCAAATTTTACAAGGAATCTTATAGACACATCCATCAGCATTTTGGGGGGAATTCTTTATCAAAAGTTTTTTTTCCTGTATCAAGATTTTTGAATTTCTCTATTCTTTCTGAAATCACCTGTTTACTGTGATCTTATTGCATATATATATATATATATATATATATATATATATATATATATATATATATATATATATATATATATATATATATATATAATATATATATATTTATTACGTGAGATTAAAGAACATACGAAGAACTACACCATCACCTTACTAACACAATTCATCCAGCCAGAATTTATAATGTACAAGAATGTATATTGTGTGGGGGGGGAGGGGGGCATTTTTTTCACAATACTTAGATTATGTCAGGAGATAAAATTTTGAATATAAATATTGCTTCGTAAAGCAGAATTCTGAGGGTATGTAACGTTCACGGTGAAGCACTAAACCAGTATGGGGTACCCAGTGGTTGTGGAATGGTTGGTACTGAGGGTTGCTGGTGATAGTGTGGTCACATGTGTGGTCACATGTGTGGTCACATGTGTGGTCACATGTGTGGTCACATGTGTGGTCACATGTGTGGTCACATGTGTGGTCACATGTGTGGTCACATGTGTGGTCACATGTGTGGTCACATGTGTGGTCACATGTGTGGTCACATGTGTGGTAATATACACATAGGAGACTGTGTAGGATTTAGTTACTAGATCAGCAGTGGCTGCCACGAGTAATGTTATGTGATGAACACCCAGGGCTGTGATGAACACCCAGGGCTGTGATGAACACCCAGGGCTGTGATGAACACCCAGGGCTGTGATGAACACCCAGGGATCTGATGAACACCCAGGGTTGTGGTGAACACCCAGGGCTGTGATGAACACCCAGGGATCTGATGAACACCCAGGGTTGTGATGAACACCCAGGGCTGTGATGAACACCCAGGGTTGTGATGAACACCCAGGGCTGTGATGAACACCCAGGGATCTGATGAACACCCAGGGTTGCGATGAACACCCAGGGTTGTGATGAACACCCAGAGATCTGATGAACACCCAGGGTTGTGATGAACACCCAGGGCTGTGATGAACACCCAGGGTTATGATGAATACCCAGGGTTGTGATGAACACCCAGGGCTGTGATAAACACCCAGGGATCTGATGAACACCCAGGGTTGTGATGAACACCCAGGGTTGTGATGAACACCCAGGGTTGTGATGAACACTCAGGGTTGTGATGAACACCCAGGGTTGCGATGAACACCCAGGGTTGTGATGAACACTCAGGGTTGTGATGAACGCCCAGGGGTGTGATGAACGCCCAGGGGTGTGATGAACGCCCAGGGTTGTGATGAACGCCCAGGGTTGTGATGAACACCCAGGGTTGCGATGAACACCCAGGGTTGTGATGAACACTCAGGGTTGTGATGAACACCCAGGGTTGTGATGAACACTCAGGGTTGTGATGAACACCCAGGATTGTGATGAACGCCCAGGGTTGTGATGAACACCCAGGGTTGTGATGAACACCCAGGGTTGTGGTGAACACCCAGGGTTGTGATGAACACCCAGGGTTGTGATGAACACCCAGGGCTGTGATGAACACTCAGGGTTGAAATGAACACCCAGGGTTGTGATGAACACCCAGGGTTGTGATGAACACCCAGGGTTGTGATGAACACCCAGGGTTGTGATGAACACCCAGGGTTGTGATGAACACCCAGGGCTGTGATGAACACCCAGGGTTGTGATGAACACCCAGGTCTCTGATGATCTCCCAGGGTTGTGGTGAACATCCAGGGCTGTGATAATCTCCCAGGATTGTGATGATCTCCCAGGGTTGTGATAATCTCCCAGGGTTGTGATGATCCCCCAGAGTTGTGATGATCCCCCAGAGTTGTGATGATCTCCCAGGGTTGTGATGATCTCCCAGGGTTGTGATGATCTCCAAGGGTTGTGATGATCTCCCAGGGTTGTGATGATCTCCCAGGGCCGTGATGAACACCCAGGGTTGTGATGAACACCCAGGTCTCTGATGATCTCCCAGGGTTGTGATGAACATCCAGGGCTGTGATAATCTCCCAGGGCTGTGATAATCTCCCAGGGCTGTGATAATCTCCCAGGGCTGTGATAATCTCCCAGGGCTGTGATAATCTCCCAGGGCTGTGATAATCTCCCAGGGCTGTGTAACACCCAGAGTTCATCCAACAGTTGATATAATGATAGAGATTATGAAGTATTTATATGTGTTTACATATATACTTGTGTTCGAGAAGAAAACACAATTAATGCCCTCAGAAATACAATGTACAGGGTAATATTTACAAAGAATACATTATATATATATATATATATATATATATATATATATATATATATATATATATATATATATATATATATATATATATATATACTGTGGGCGCAACAAGTCACAATACGGGGCTGACACAAATTTCAACTAACCTATAAATCAGCTAGGTTAATTGAAACGAAACTAGACGAGGTTTCAGTCGGTTCTGGAACACAGTATAATCAGTGGGGAGTGAAACATGGTCCAGTTTGAGCCACAGTGTGCGAGTCAGATGATACAGTGGTGCATGTTATCCCTCTACACCGTTATTTTATGAAGACTAGTTTTTAATCACTTATTTACAATGAGATGTTAGTTCAGTACTGCTACAGCTATCGTAGCTTACTGTTATCGCTAATGTAGCTTTCTACCTACAGCTAACGTAGCTTTTACCTACAGCTAACGTAGCTCTACAACACTCACCTAGTCCTACAGAATTACTGATAAAGTTAACCGTGGCGTTGATACCAGTAATCGTCACTTGTGGCACTCTGGCGAAGGTGTGTGTGACACCAAGCTTAATTAATATGTTCCTGGGGAAGCGCTCAAACCATACGAGTCATATAGCGCCTGGGGAATAGAAGGTAATTAGGTTTGATCACCAGAAAGGAAAGTGTACTCTGAGTTCTTCCATCAAAAACCAATCCCCAGCACTAAGACTTCTCTGTGAAGGTAAACTAAGCAAAGCAACGCAGGGATTGTTGATGCAAGTATCCTAATCTCGCATTTGTGGTAGACTCGACGCACCTTCGCCAGATTTCCCTTCGTACAGATTATGTCTTTATGGTAGTGTACTGGCCTTCAAGGTATGGCGAACCTAATGAAAATTCGCCAAAACCCCCACCGTGTAAAGTTACTGGCCTTCTCCAGAGAGTATTCGCCAGAGGCACAACTTGCGAATCACAACATGGACGGGTAGCCTAGAGGAAGAGAGAAGGCAATGATTCCAATAACTAAAGTTTAGGAGACACACCAAGCAACTACTATTTATATCCCACCACCAGTAACAGCAGCCCCAGCACCGCCACCAGCATCACCTCCCCCTGCCTCCCTGCTGCTGACGACGTTCTGTCAGCAGGCCTAGTGTCGTTCTCGCCAGGCAGGGTGTAGGCAGGGCTCTTGGGAGGGAAGGTGTGGGTGAGCATACCAGGGCACAGGTCGTTGGAATCCACGAAGAGAATGCGGTTTTCCAAGCCTTGATAAAGAGGACTCATCTGTTGGATGAACTGCATGAAGACGTCTGTGTCCAGGAGACCTAGGCAGGGATGAAATTTCCTTACTGAAAATGGATGGTAAGCAAATACTCTAAATAAATATGGTGTATAGTAATATATTAAACAAAAGGGCCGAATATACTAATAATATACTGTTTAAACAACAATATATAAAAAAAGAACTTAATAACCTAGCCTCGTTCTCCCCAGCACAGGACATTATCCTCAGTCTTACCAGTCAGGTGGTGATTGATTTTGTTATCTCTGATAACAGAGTAGCCATCGCCGCCGTTGGCCAGGAAGGATGCCATAGCTATCCTGTAGATGAGGTCATCCTTGACATCCTGGAGCTCAGGGATGCGACACTCCTGACAGCGGGCCTGCAGACGTACCACTCTTGAACCCACGGGAAGGTTCACGTCGTACACACCACCACGAAACCTGTGGGTACCAACAGTGATCGATCAGGCCAGCACTCAGGCTTGGTCTGGGACCTGGTCGTGGGGGCGGTGACCCCTGGCAGCGACTATAGGTAACCTTGAACATAACTGGATGAGTATATCGAGTAAAAATTTCTGAGGCGTCTATGTGTACGTGCGTGTGTTTAATAACTTTGTTAAGTTCCCCAGACCCATCCTGTGGAAGGTAGTCAAAAGATTACAGAGGCACATATGGGTCCAGGGAAGTGTGTGCACTCTGCTGTACTCAGTTGTACTCATCCCATCTCTGGTAACAAATTTATATCTTTGCTATAGATTCACACAGGTTTACTGCTTATTACAGCACCCATGTTGGTATGTCTTCACGCCCAATGACTTTTGATATATAAAATTCCTTTAGCAGTCTCAGTGTTTCCTCCTTTGACCTAAATTTTACACGGTATCTGCTAATTTACCATCACATCCTTTCTTCTCTCTCCACATTTCTCATTTATTTTCAGAAATTTTAAGGATAACTTAAGTGGCTCACGAAATCGAAATGACACAGTTGTAAATGTAAACAGACATCAGTCAAACATTAATAAATTAAACCTAAAGTCTGCCAGAAATGCCTAGGCCTGCTAGAGGCCTTCCTTGTAATTAATATTTTACAGTATGTAAACCATACATTGTAAGCATTGCAAGAAAATAGACATTTATTATTATTATTATTATTATTATTATTATTATTATTATTTTTATTATAAAGAAAGCGAAGGATGTATCATCTTACTTTAGTTTACCTTCAAATTCAAACCTATTATAGTACATAGGATTTCGTTTTCTAAAGTATTAGACATTAGAGAAAACTGTAGTCTATGTACCGGAGACTTGCAAAAATCCTCCAGGATGATCCAGCGCCTGAGTGTCGTAATGACTCACTGAATGTTCAAACATTTCCTTCACATGTTTGCCCTTCAGCTCAACGATGTCTATGGTATTTTGGAAAGGCGCCACAGTAAGTATATCTTCCATGGTGATTACACCTGCAAATATTAATAATTTATAAGTTGTTGAAGGAATTTTAGACGAAATTTTATGCATATAAATAAGGAAATTTACTTAAAAAGTATATAAAAAAATCACTCCCAGATCTGCATTTTAATGGAGAAATTGGTCTTAGTGATGACCCACAGCTGGAGCTTTTGGTCACCTGACCGAGGTCCACATCATTAAGATTATGTATAATTAAAATCATTACATGAGCTTCATTACAGTATTTCACACGTACTTATCTATACAGCTCATACGTTTAATTATATATTGCTTGACATGAATGTGCCTCGACTGGCAGAACACACACACTGAGTGTCCGTGGTTCTATCCCCGGCACGGGTGGAAACACTGGGCATGTTTCCTTACATCCGCTGTCCCTATTCACCCAGCAGTAATTAGGTACCTGAGTGTTAGTCGACTGGTGTGGGTGGCATCCTGGGGGATAAGACTAAAGGACGTCAATGAAAATCGGACAGACAGTCCTCGATGACACACTGACTTTCTTGGGTTATACTGGGTGGCTAACCCTCCAGGGTTAAAAATCCGAACAAATATTATTATTACACTAAATATTATTACACTAATATGGCTCGTACAGTCTCTAGAAATGGGAAGTAATAAGATGATTTAATCCAAAGATATGAAGAATAAATAATTTCTGGAGCGTAAGCGCCTTCAAGGAGGTGCTTATCAATGGACTTCCTGAGGTATACGTGAGTTAACATACATTGATGAGCCACTGACCATTAGAGGCACGCTCATCAATGGACGCCCTGATTCCACCACCGTTCTGAACAGCCAGGCTGGTCAGTGCCCACTTGTTGTCGTCTGGATACTTGGCATTCTGAGTAAAGAACACATTATTAAAAGTAGTAGTAGTAGTAGTAGTAGCAATAGTAGTACATAAACATGGGTAGGTTCTCAATCAGTAGGGGTTATAAAACGCCTGTGGATTACACGGCGTATTGTCAAGAAATATGAACCTAAAAAACACAGAATAAGGAGAAGAATGGAGGGTGACTCGCACCATGATCTCTGCAGGGTGACTCGCACCATGATCTCTGCAGGGTGACTCGCACCATGATCTCTACAGGGTGACTCGCACCATGATCTCTGTAGGGTGACTCGCACCATGATCTCTACAGGGTGACTCGCACCATGATCTCTGCAGGGTGACTCGCACCATGATCTCTGCAGGGTGACTCGCACCATGATCTCTGCAGGGTGACTCGCACCATGATCTCTACAGGGTGACTCGCACCATGGTCTCTGCAGGGTGACTCGCACCATGATCTCTACAGGGTGACTCGCACCATGATCTCTGCAGGGTGACTCGCACCATGATCTCTACAGGGTGACTCGCACCATGATCTCTGCAGGGTGACTCGCACCATGATCTCTGCAGAATGACTCGCACCATGATCTCTACAGGGTGACTCGCACCATGATCTCTGCAGAATGACTCGCACCATGGTCTCTGCAGGGTGACTCGCACCATGGTCTCTGCAGGGTGACTCGCACCATGATCTCTGCAGGGTGACTCGCACCATGATCTCTACAGGGTGACTCGCACCATGATCTCTGCAGGGTGACTCGCACCATGATCTCTACAGGGTGACTCGCACCATGATCTCTGCAGGGTGACTCGCACCATGATCTCTGCAGGGTGACTCGCACCATGATCTCTGCAGAATGACTCGCACCATGGTCTCTGCAGGGTGACTCGCACCATGGTCTCTGCAGGGTGACTCGCACCATGGTCTCTGCAGGGTGACTCGCACCATGGTCTCTGCAGGGTGACTCGCACCATGGTCTCTGCAGGGTGACTCGCACCATGGTCTCTGCAGGGTGACTCGCACCATGGTCTCTGCAGGGTGACTCGCACCATGGTCTCTGCAGGGTGACTCGCACCATGGTCTCTGCAGGGTGACTCGCACCATGGTCTCTGCAGGGTGACTCGCACCATGGTCTCTGCAGGGTGACTCGCACCATGGTCCTCTGCAGGGTGACTCGCACCATGATCTCTGCAGGGTGACTCGCACCATGATCTCTGCAGGTGACTCGCACCATGATCTCTGCAGGGTGACTCGCACCATGGCTCTGCAGGGTGACTCGCACCATGGTCTCTGCAGGGTGACTCGCACCATGGTCTCTGCAGGGTGACTCGCACCATGGTCTCTGCAGGGTGACTCGCACCATGGTCTCTGCAGGTAGCAGGGCCAGTCTTTCTCGTTATTAAATATTTTTTACGACTTGGGTTTACAGGAAACAAACATGTTTGCCTTCACTCCATGAGGTTGAGGGAGGTGTGTGTGTATGTAGTAGTAGTAGTTGTAGTAGTAGTTGTAGTAGTAGTTGTTGTAGCTACTAGCTGTCAAAGACACTTGTCGATAGACACTTGGCGTATGTATGTTTTTTTTGTATATGTGTGTACTCACGTGTGGTTCCAGGGGTCGATTCATAAATCGTCTCTGTTTATATATATAAACAGGTTTATAGCTATCATGTATGTACACACAAGTTTGCATCAATAAATATACAAGAAGTTTATATATATCACTATACTGTATATACAGTGAGATTGTACCTTAAATGGCCTTTCAGTATTCGAAAAGCATTAAATTTAACAAACAACAATGGAGTTTAGTTAGCTTATTATCTTTATTATGCACCCTAAACCCATCCTGTGGGCGGTAGTTAAAAGATTACAGAGGTACATAACGGGTCCATGGACTGGGCCCCAAAGTTTTGATAGATGAACAAGTTACAAAGGTAATGAACTCCAGGTAGATCTGGTTAGAATCATGACCAAGTTACAAAGGTAATGAATCATCTGCACGTCAATGAAAACAAGAGAAGGTTACTGTAACATTACAGATATGAGGCGTAAGCTTTAGTGGCCCTAAACAGCACTGCAAACATTAAGGCGTAAGCTTTAGTGGCCCTAAACAACACTGCAAACATTAAGGCGTAAGGTTTAGTGGCCCTAAACAACACTGCAAACATTACGGCGTAAGCTTTAGTGGCCCTTAACAACCTTAACACCAACACAGCAAACAGCCTCAACAGTCCACAACCACCCACCATATGGATGATAGCATCCGTTTGCAGGTTGCCAAGGTTGCACTCTCTCATCCTGCAGGAGAGCCTGTTGCCGTCCTGGAAAACAAAGGACTTGCCCACCTCATGAGTCACCATGTCATCAATCTTCTTCTTGTAAGGTACCAGCGCTGCTAAGATCTCTGGATCTGTAGTGAAACACATATGTATATATACATGTATATATATTGTAAAAGAGAATTCAAATGTATATATATAAATAATATATATAATATATATTATATATATATAATATATAATATATATAATATATATATATATATATATATATATATATATATATATGCAATAAAGATCACAGTAAACAGGTGATTTCAGAATATGCAAAAAAAACCACTATGAAAGAATAGAGAAGTTCCAAGCGCTTTCGTGACTACTCACATTATCAAGGAACAATGATAATGTGAGTAGTCACGAAAGCGCTTGGAACTTCTCTATTCTTTCACAGTGGTTGTTTTGCATATTCTGAAATCACCTGTTTACTGTGATCTTATTGCATATATATATATATATATATATATATATATATATATATTATATATATATATATATATATATATATTATATTTTATATATATATATATATATATAGAATTTACTTTCAACTACATGTATATTACCTGGAGTTTACCTGGAGAGAGTTCCGGGGGTCAACGCCCCCGCGGAACGGTCTGTGACCAGGCCTCCTGGTGGATCAGAGCCTGATCAACCAGACTGTTACTGCTGGCTGCACGCAAACCAACGTACGAGCCACAGCCCGGCTGATCAGGAACCGACTTTAGGTGCTTGTCCAGTGCCAGCTTGAAGACTGCCAGGGGTCTGTTGGTAATCCCCCTTATGTATGCTGGGAGGCAGTTGAACAGTCTCGGGCCCTTGACACTTATTGTATGGTCTCTTAACGTGCTAGTGACACCCCTGCTTTTCATTGGGGGGATGTTGCATCGTCTGCCAAGTCTTTTGCTTTCGTAGTGAGTGATTTTCGTGTGCAAGTTCGGTACTAGTCCCTCTAGGATTTTCCAGGTGTATATAATCATGTATCTCTCCCACCTGCGTTCCAGGGAATACAGGTTCAGGAACCTCAAGCGCTCCCAGTAATTGAGATGTTTTATCTCCGTTATGCGCGCCGTGAAGGTTCTCTGTACATTTTCTATTTCAGCAATTTCACCTGCCTTGAAAGGTGCTGTTAGTGTGCAGCAATATTCCAGCCTAGATAGAACAAGTGACCTGAAGAGTGTCATCATGGGCTTGGCATCCCTATTTTGAAGGTTCTCATTATCCATCCTGTCATTTTTTTAGCAGATCGATCGAACAAATGTTATGGTCCTTGAAGGTGAGATCCTCCGACATGATCACTCCCAGGTCTTTGACGTTGGTGTTTCGCCCCTATTTTGTGGCCAGAATTTTTGTACTCTGATGAAGATTTAATTTCCTCGTGTTTACCATAGCTGAAGTAATTGAAATTCTCATCGTTGAACTTCATATTGTTTTCTGCAGCCCACTGAAAGATTTGGGTTTATGTCCGCCTGGAGCCTTGCAGTGTCTGCAATGGAAACACTGTCATGCAGATTCGGGTGTCATCTGCAAAGGAAGACACGGTGCTGTGGCTGACATCCTTGTCTATGTCAGACATGAATTAGGAACAAGATGGGAGCGAGTACTGTCCCTTTGGGTGGAACAGAGTTTTTTCACCGTCCCCTGCCTGGGCCCTTTACTCTGTGACTACTACTCTCTGTGTTCTTTTAAAGTGAGAAATTATAGATCCATCGACCGACTTTTCCTGTTTTTCCCTTTAGCACGCATTTTGTGCGCAAATTACGCCATGGTCACACTTGTCGAAGGCTTCACAAAAGTCTGTATATATTACATCTGCATTCTTTTTTTGTCTTCTAGTGCATCTAGGACCTTGTCGTAGTGATCCAATAGTTGAGACAGACAGGAGCGACCTGTTCTAAACCCATGTCGCCCGGGGTTTGTGTAACTGATGGGTTTCTAGATGGGTGGTGATCTTGCTTCTTGGGACTCTTTCAAAGATATTTTGATATGGATGTTAGTGCTATGGGTCTGTAGTTCTTTGCTGTTGCTTTACTCCCCCCTTTGGGGAGTGGGGCAATGTCTGTTGTTTTTAGAAAACTGGGGGACGACCCCCGTGTCCATGCTCCCTCTCCATAGGATGGTAAAGGCTCGTGATAGGGCTTCTTGCAGTTCTTGATGAACACGAGTTCCATGAGTCTGGCCCTGGGCAGAGGGGCATGGCATGTCATTTATCGCCTGTTCGAAGTCATTTGGCGTCGGGATAACATCAGATAGGCTTGTGTTAACCAAATTCTGTGGCACTCTCATAAAAAAATTCATTTTGATCTTCGACTCTCAGTCTGGTTAGTGGCTTGCTAAAAACTGAGTCATATTGGGACTTGAGTAGCTCACTCATTTCCTTGCTGTCATCTGGTAGGACCCATCTTTTTTAAGTAGGGGCCCAATACTGGACGTTGTCTCGACTTTGATTTGGCATAGGAGAAGAAATACTTTGGGTTTCTTTCGATTCATTATGGCTTTTATTTTTCTTCCCGCGATTCCTGACTCCTATAAGATTCCTTTAGCTTAAGTTCGATGCTTGCTTTTCTCTGACCAGTGTGTCCCCCACGCATTTCAGATAGATTTACCTCTTTTAGCCGCTCTGTTATTCTTTCCGTCGCCTGTAAAGAGTGCGCCTGTCTCTTTCCCATTTTACATCTACTCCTTTTTCTTAGAGGAATAAGTCTTGTGCATACATCGAGTGCCAAACCCAAATAATCTTTCTAGGATAAGTTTGGGGTCTGTGTTGCTTAGTATATCTTCCCCGCTTATATCGTTTTGGACTTGGTTTACTGGTCCCATTTATGTTTTGTTATTGAAGTTGAATTTGGTGAATGCTCCCTCGTGACTAATCTCATTATGTCGGTCTGGAACTCCGCGCATACATGACTGAACCTCAATTATGTTGTGATCTGAGTATATTGTTTTTGATATGGTGACATTTCTTATCAATCATCATTGTTAGTGAAGATGGGTCTAGTTTCTCCATTCTAGTACTCATTATTTGCGGTTTTTAAATTTAATTTTTTGCGAGATTTAAAAGCTCGTTTAGGTGATTTTCATCAGACTGCCTCCCCGGTTTATTACTGCAACAAATATATTTGCTAATCCCCCATTTTTGGGGCCTTAAGTAAATCCCCCCCGGACAAGATGTTGGGGCAGGAGCGGGAAAATTTTTCCCGACAGGGTCAATTTTTAACGCTGTTCCGGGAAATTTCGGGAGTTGCATCCGGGCTTGTAGACTACCACAAGACAGGTTTTTGGTTCTCGAACCTTTTTTGCTAAAAATTTTCCACATCATTAGGGATTAAGCATTCTAGTAAGGTAGGTAAAGATTTTTCAGAAACAGGACAATGTTTCCTAACGTGGTTTTTAATTAAAACAGACACACAACCGGAGCTTTTGGGGCATCTGACCGAGGCCTTCCGATGGTTTAAAAATGTCCACCCCTTTAAAAATTATGTAATGTTTTTTAACCATTTTGTCCCGTCATTTTTTCATCAAACCACAACAACCTGGTCGTCCCAAAACCACAAACCCAACCCGTCAAACCCCTCCCAGGGCCGTCAACCCACGCACCCTCCCTTCAGGCCCTCTAACATTAAATTCCCAAATAACGGTAACCCAACCCTCGGAAAAGCCGTTGAAGCTGCCGTCAAGTTTGTTCAACTGCCTACACATACATAAGGGGGTTAAAATGGGGCCCCGGGCTGCTTCAAGAAGGAGCGGACAGACCATAAATCATACCGACCAGCCGGGCTGGGTTCTACGCGTTTGCGTGGGGCCAACAAAACAGCTGGTTATCAACCCTGATCCATCGCGAGGCCGGGTCCAGCCGGGGCCGCCTTGCCCCCGAAATCCTCCCAGGTATATCCGGGAACCCATCGTGAATACTTACGATATCCTCATCGCCCTACAAGTGTCTCACTCGGCTGCCCCAATTTCCTTTTACCTCTGTCAAACCGTCCTGTGGCGGATGGCGGGGAAACGGAAGCCTATTTCCCCCTCCACATGACATACTACAACCGTGTGTGTCCCACCCTTAACTCATATAAAACGGGGTACTCCACTGCGTGTGCCCCTCCCCCCCTTGTCTCATAAAAAGGGGGTAGCGCATACGGGGGGTTTTCCCAAATTTGCAAATAAATAAAAAGTCTCACCCCCACACACAAGTGAGAAAGGGAATGGTGCCTTTAAAACGCGCGGGGTATCTCCCCAGGCCCAAACCCCCATAACAGGGGGTCTGGGAGGGGGGGGTCATTCTAACTCCCCCCCTTACCCCTTGGGTTAAAAAGTCGTAAACATGCAGTAACCAACTGATCCACGCTGACCCCCACTGACCCACGCAGTGCGGGGGTGCGACCAGAGCCACGAGCGACACCTTCACAATCACAAAGGGTAGTACATAAAAACTTATTTGTAACCAAACAACCGGAAAATGTGAGATTTAAGCCGACCCAGCGATGGAAAAACAATCTACTTTTAAATAAGTGGTTTAAAAGATTTAAAAAAGAAAATTGGTTTACAAATAACCGCATTAAGGGCTCCATTTTTGCCATGGTTTTTTTTTTCAGCCTTTTGGTTTAATAGTTTTTCCTAGTGGGTTTGCGAGGCTTTTTAAAAGCACAGGGAAAAAGGGAAAGGGGAAAAGGGGAGAAGAGAAAGAGAGGTGTTTTTAAAGAGCGTGAGTTTTTCCCCGTTTCAAAAAACAAGTTTACTTTCCCCTTATAATCAACCTTGTTATAATTACTATCGCATTTGTTTTGTCTGTTTTCGTAAAGTGAAGTCCAGAATCTTTACTTAATTCATGGTATAACTTAACAAATCTTTGAGGACAACTGTGCTGCTCACACCTCTACAACAACAATTGTGATCTAAGATTTGTTAAGTTATACCATGAATTAAGTAAAGATTCTGGACTTCACCTTACGAAACAGACAAAGCAAATGTGATAATAATTATGGACAATTAGATTATAGTAGGAAAATGAACATGTTATTTGAAGAAAGGGGAACAACGTAGCCCTTAAATCTTGGTACCTCCGAGCTACTGTGTA